CTCAGCCTCCTTGCAAACCCCACTTGTATTGTTGCTTCCGCCGCTACAAATGCACAATTCCATATGTATCACTACCAAGGTGGTGATGAAGAGAGTGATCCAAGGATGTAGACAGACCCAAGTCCTCATTATGGTTTTTTTAACACTTCTCTGGTTTTTTTAACACTTCTCTGGATTTTTTTAACACTTCTCTGGTTTTACTTTAGTGGAGAATTTAAATACTCTAAGCAACGAATGCTTTGCTTATGTTATGTATGGCATAGTGGGTGGGTACATGTACTATATATACTCTACTATGGCCGTCATGTTGGAACAATTTTCCCCTGAAAACTAAACATATACTCCGAGTATATTAATTGCCCATAGGAAAAGTAGCTAGGTTCACTCGGTTGACAGTTGACAGGAAGAATTCATATCTTCCTTATTCTCTTCAAAGTCAGATGTAGACCGCGTTACTTATTTAGGGGCTGTTTCTAAAGTGGATGTGGGAGGAAGCTTCAAGATATTGAAAAAAGTACTTTCAATTGAAAAAAACCAAACAGTGTTGGGGATAATAACGATAACGCATATCAATAGAGAGTCGTGTATAACACTTTTAGATTCAATATTTTGGTTCAATCCAAAATTCAATCGGGTAAAACTCGAAAGCAACCGAACGAGTATGGAATTGTTATGAATTTTCGAACTCTGCTTCGACCAAAGAAATTTCGGGAATATATAGAATTGCGAGTATGGAATTGTTAAGAATTCATCTCTTCCTCGATGCTATCCTCAACGATTTTTCTTTTTAAAGAAAAATTTGAAAATAAAATTCAAATGAATTTTTTAACATAGCACTTTGCCCAAAACAAAAAAATTTCGAACTGACCTCTGCCCCTTCGACCCCGCAGGGGCTGCCGCCTCTTGAACCCCGCTCGGGGGCGCTGCCCCCGAACCCCTGCCAAGGGGCTCTGCCCCTTTGGAACCCCCGATAAAACGGGACTTTTATCCTAAGAAACTCAACGAAGCATGGACTCCGCACCACCAAACTTCTTTGATGATTATTAGGATATCACTGGTCATAGTTTTTTCAATTACACTAAAATATATAACAAACAGGCTCTTAGACCATATTCTCCTCAACTTATTTTTTTATTTACTACTTATTCCTATTCGATTCACATCAAATTAGAAATAACTTCAAATATAACTACATCCAGATCAGATCAGAACTTATTCCAATCAGATCAAAATCGATCAGGTGAAGAGAACATGGTCTTAGTGAAAATATGTTAGACAATAAATAATGTTTTCAATATTTTTAATGAGTTGTAGAAATAATAAATATATTGATGCTTAAAAGTTGAATATTTTACAATCAAATATCCCACTACTTTAGGGTCTATTTGTTTGAGGGGGCATATTTTTCCAAATATTTTTTATTCTAATTTACTAGGTTTGGTAATATAAGTACTAGAAAACTTTTGTTTATGAAAAATATTTTCTTTCAACAAAAAAAATTACGTTTGATTTAGGAAGAAAATTGCTACTTAAGTTGCTTTTCGTTCGCCCGCTTTGGTTTTTTGAGGACCTGATCTAATCTAATCTGATTTGATTATAATAAGAATAAGTAATAAGCAAAAAAATAAGTTAAACGTAACGTTGCCTTAGTCTCAAACCTTAATTCCACGTCCCATGAACCCTGCCTCCCGTCCACTCCTTAAAACCAATCCTCTCGTCCTGCTCCAACCCCCTAGCCCCTATTTCCGCCTATACCCCCCCCCCCACCGCCCCCCTTCCCCCAACCCACCCGCCACCTTGCGCCACCTGCCTCCCCCCATCTCCACTAAATTCTCATTATTGAGTGATGTTTATAAATTGGTCAAATTTCTTATATGAAATTTGTTCAGACTTGAATGTTGGAAGAAACGAGAAAAAGTTAGAAAAAGTAAAAAGAATTGGATATTGTTAAAAGAATTAAAGTACTCCGTATGAAAAATTCACTCAATTAAATAACAATCCAAATAAATACATAATAAAATTTTAATTTTGGATAAAAAGTAATTCATCTTTTTCCATGCTTGAGCTAGTATGTTAGTAGTATAAATTTGGATATATAATGTTATTGTATATTCTCCAAATAAAAAATACATATTTTAAGACATTGTTGGCAGAAATATGAAAAACTAGAAGATATTGAAAGAAACTGAAAAAAGTTGAAAATTAATTTTTTCAACAAAAAAAACATGTTCTATGTGCGTGGAATGACTCCCCTTTTTTTAATGTTTGTTTTCTTTTATTTTTTTAAAGACTAAGAATCATTTTTTATTAAAAAAGAAGACAGACTTTATTGATAAATGGACATGTAAAATGATTTTTAATAATTAAAATAAGTCAAAAATGACTGTATGTGCATGAGTGTATGTTTCTCACGAGCATGGTGTAGAAGTGAGGTATAATCGTTTGGTGTACCATGATAAAGAATAGAGGGAAACAGGGAATACTCCATAACAATCTTTAATCAATGAAAAGCGACAGGATGTAAGAATAGAAAGGACTGAATGCATCAACGCGTAAAAGAGATGGGAATAAATGTTAGACAGGTCATAAATATGGCAAGTTAGGCAGCTGTTAAATACTTCCTCCGTCCTCAATTTGATTACAGATTCAGATTTACGAAGAAAATTTTCTCATTTTTTGAAATGATTTTATTTACAAATCAGTATATCAATAAGAAATAAAAATTACATATTAAAAAGCTACATCAAAAGTTCTACAAAATAAGAAGTGACAAAAATATTTTATTTTATCAAATGCTTAATGAAACCGCATAAACAAACAAAAATTATCGAGAGGAGAGAGAAAAAAATTGTAATCAAATTAGGGATGGAGGGAGTATTTTGTTTGGAAAAAAGATGAGCCCCATCAATTATACGTCTTAATTTTTTTGTTTGTTTAATTTGAATTTTTTGTTTGTTAACTTTTTTTGTCTATTTTTAATCTTTATTGTAAACAATTAAACAAAACAAGTGAATAATGTAAGCTTTAAATAAATACATAAAAATGCAAAAAAAAAGACAACAGAAAATTAAAAAAACAAACAAAAAATAAGACATATAGTACCATAAACAAACAAAAAATAAAACATTTTAAAGAAAAAATTCACGTTTGTTACTTTTTTCTTTAGTTCCTTTTTGAAATCTTTATTTATTATTTATTCCTTATGTGCCTGTTCTCATTTCTTATTTTTTACTTTTCTTGTTTTGTTTTTTGTTTTTCGTTCTTTCTTATTTTATTTAGTACCATAAACAAACAAAAAATAAAACATTTTAAAGAAAAAATTCACGTTTGTTACTTTTTTCTTTAGTTCCTTTTTGAAATCTTTATTTATTATTTATTCCTTATCTGCCTGTTCTCATTTCTTACTTTTTTCTTTTTTTGTTTTGTTTTTTGTTTTTCGTTCTTTCTTCTTTTATTTATCTGTTTCGTTATTTTCTCCTTTATCTTTTACCTTTTCTGTTAATAACATTGTTATTTTATATTTAATAAATTTAATTAAACAAAAAGATCAACTATTATCTTTTATTATCTTTTGATCATAATAACATTGTTATTTTATATTATCTATTAAACAAAAAGATCAAACTATTATCTTTTCTGTTAATAACATTGTTATTTTATATTTAATCATTTTATTATCTTATGGTCTTATAGTGTTATTTTCTTTTCCATATTTTTTTTGATCTTATTTGTTTGTTTTTTGTTTTTGAAAATATATGAAACAAAAAATGGTACTATATATCTTTTTTTTGTCTGTATTTTTAAAATTTTTTGTTGTCTTATTTTTTTCATTTTTTAGTTATCTATTAAGGGCTTATTTTATTCACTTGTTTTGTGTAATTGTTTACAATAAAGATTTAAAACATAAAAAGATTCAAAAAAATAAAACAAACAAAAACAAACAAAAAATTAGACATTTGTTAACAAAAAGATAGGAAAACTAACAAAAAAAATAGTAAAAAAAATCTTAAACAAGCAAACAAATAGTATTAAAACATCAAGAAAAAAATGGAAAAAAACAAACAAAGAAATTCACAAATAAAAAAGAATGAAAAGAAAAACAAACTAAAAAGACATATATCAAAAAAATGAAAAAAATTAAAAAAATGTTATTCAACATAAAATTCGAAAACAAAAAAATATTTAAAGAGGAAGTTAAAATTAAACAAAAAAAGAGGGGACTCAAGAAGGGGGGTGGGGTTAAACAAGAAGGGTGGGGTGGGTTGTTGTGAGTGGAGGGTTTAATGAAGAAGAAGAAAAAAATGGGTGAAAGAAGAAAGAAGAAGAAAAGAAGGGGTGAAAGAAGGAAGAAGAAGAAAAAAAGGGGTGAAAGAAGAAGAAAAAGAAGGGAGTGGGAGGGGGGAGAAGAAGAAAAAAGAAATGATATGAAATTGAAGATATTAAATTATACTTATAAAATTGTAATTTGGCCCAAATGACCTAATGATTACCTAAAAACCAGCTCCAGGTACCATTCGTGAAAGATTTTCAAAGTTCAGGTATTTTTGTGATTGAAAATGAAGTCTAGGTACCAAAACGAAAAATATCTAAAAGTTCAGGTACCACACGTGAAATTTACCCCAAGTTTTTATGCAGAAACAAAGTTTGAATTTGAAACATTTTTTATGTAGAAAAAAGTTATATTTTGGAAAACCTTTTTGTCAACAAAATAGACCATTACAAGCAAAATTCAAATCTGAAAAAATGGCAAATGCAGACCAATTTAGCTTTAAAAACCAGTAAATCAGAAATCTGACCATTCAAACATCAAGTCTTAAACTCACATAATGGACACCCCCCNAATGTCAGTGCATGAAACACATAGTGACAAATGAAAATATTGACATTAAGAAAGGTCAAACAACCATTACTATAGAATCAAACAAAGTATAGAAGGGGTTGGGGATTCAACTAAAAAAATATAATCGGAGTAAGCCAAGAAGAGAAGGGGATGGGGGGATTAACTATGAATAGCACAGAGTCAAGCCAAGAGAGAAGTGGAGGGGGGATTATTCGAAATGAAAAGCAAAAGCAAAAACAAAAAGGTGCAAAAACTAAATTTTGTCCGGGTTTGTCTCCACAGTAGACACCCTTCTTTTTAGTCTTTGGCTAGACCTTACCTATCCAAGATAGTATGGTGCATCCATAACATGTTCTTCAACCATGCACCTATAATCACAACTATTACAAGAATATTAACTCTATTTTAAGGCAAATCATAGAGTTTAGTTTTCCAAATGTACATACGAAGCTCAAGCAACTCAAATAAGCTCTCAAGAAAGTGATCAAGTTCCTGAGAATCTATAGGTTGCTGTGTGGGTAACTGCTTTCAAAGCACAGATAACAAAATAGCTTATCCAACACCCAAAAGACTATTTGGAAAAAACTTACATTATGCTTGGTTCATAGAATTTGAAAGAAAAAAGAAAAGAAAATGAGATGAAAAATAGTTTTTCTTATTTAGTTAGAGCGAAAAACGAAAAAAAATGGAATGAAAAGAAAATGAGAAAGCAAAATGTACTAAGAGGAAAAACAAATTTCCTCCCATTTTGGTGAGGAAAATGGGAGAAAACTATCTTCTTTTCCTTCCAAATTTCTTGAATCAAAGATAATGTTAAGTAAATAGAGTTTGTAAGACAATTGCAACCTACTACCTGTTTAGAATTGAGAATTAGCTATGGGATAGTAGTTTCTCTGAAAATATATTGTAATCAAAAGTGTTGGTTAGAGAAGTTGAGAAAAAGTACTCATGAAGCTATGGAAACATTAATTTTGAAAAGATTTGAACAGTTGAACTTCCAAAAGAATTCTTTAAACTCTGTAGTTAAAGTGTGGGGTAGGATGAACAATTTTAAAAGTCATAATGAACAAAAAGTGAAACCATTTCTATCAATTACCCCCACACTTAGACTAATCCATATTTTTAAACAACCTTTAAGAAACAAGAACATGGCTGAAAACCATTCTAGAAATCATAGTTATAAGACATATAATCCAAATTATGCATTTCAAGATTCATAACAACAATTCAAAAGTCGACAATTAAAACTAAGCATTTCAACTTAAGCACTTCAAGAAAAAAATCAGCAATTCAAAATTCAGTATTTAAGAGTCAGCATTTCACAAATCAAATCAGCCCTTTATGGAATCAGCACATCTGAATTTCAGTATTTCAAACCAACAATTGAACATTTGAAGTTGAAAATCAGCATTTTAACATCCAACATACAATAAATTAGCATTTTAAACATTAAAAAGTTAGCACTTCAATTACTTGAACAAACATAACAGTCATTTGAGATTTAGCTATATGATTCCAAGTTGCTGAAATTTTCCACATAATCTCAATTAGACTACTTCCTTGAATATATCAACTAAAAAACAAAGCAACAATGTTTTCTACGTGTAAAAATCTGGATTGATACCAAATCCAAAACTCATTGGAATGTACTCAAGTAAACAGCAATCAGAACACTTACATAAATGAACATAAGTGTGCAGAAAACCATTTATAAACTTTGCAGGTGTATAAATTTATTAAGCACATTGATCCTCCTTACAATAGTAGCTAATGGTTTAAACAAATCAGAAGAAAGGATCAGCCATTGTACCTGAGATTATGTATTAATAGCACTAAATGTGCCACAATTAAGATTTCTCCAGACCTGCCTCCATTGCTAACAACAGCTTCATACACCTCTAAGTGCAAATTATCCTTTGCTTTTTTGTGAATATCTCTTCTCCTAAACTAAAAGTATAGCAAAGAATAAACTAATTAATATACCTTAAATTCACCCCCTTATTTATATATCAATTGATGCCTAAGTAGCTAAGGCAAGTAAGGGTTGATCCCACGAGAAAAGAGAATTTAAAACAGTTTGCATTTGCTACTTTATTAAAATAGACTAACACTAAAGTACTAAACACTTAAAACATAATTGGAAACACAACTATTACTAAAGACACTTATACTATAAACTTATATGATATAGAAACATAGATTTAGGGGGGGTGAGATAAGAACGTTATGAACATGCTAGAACAACTAAAAAAGAAGATATATGACACAGAATAGATTACACTAAATAACAATCTGACAAAGGAAACAGAAGAAAAGAAAGATAAGAGGGCTTGAAACAAATGTAAACCAAGCCTTGGTATAATCCTTAGAAAAATATGTGACATTCTAATGAATCATTAACACAAATAAATTCTGAAATAGTTTTCATGACAGGGCTGTAAGAAACTAACTGATTTATCCTACCTTCTCCTATGAGTTTATTGGTCTTCACTAAGCACCAACACCGAGATTGAACACTATTATTACCCCTAGTAGTTTAAGACAGCCCCGAACAACTAATCATAATAATGCATTTAGCTTCAACTAGGCATCAATCAGAATTAAAACCAATAGTCCACCTGCAGTGTCAAGATTGCAACTGTTTGCTAACCTGAGGACTACAATTATTCTAGCTAATGAAACTTGTCATATGATTCCCTAGCTAGAATGACCAATAAAGACTAAGACTAAACAAAAAGACGCGTCCACCCAAATATTCAAAGCCTATCTTCATAAAACAAGTCCATAATCAAAAAACACCCTCAAATAATTCAGCATAATTAAAAGTCCAAAATCAAGGTTCCAAACAATCACAATATGTCATTCCAATGTGACCAAGTTGAGATCTACTAACAATACACAAACTACATTTTTAAACGTAGAGCGGTAGAGGTTTCAAAACATATCATATTTATCAACCATAGCAAATATAAGAACATATTGGAACCAAAACGGTAATCAGAAACAAAATCAATCCTTTATTAAAATCAAAAGCTTAATTTGAATCGGTCCAAATGTTAAACATACACAGAAATGAACTGAAATTGAATGCTACAAAATGGAAATAATGAAATTACCCAGCAAATACTCAACGATCGAAGAAGAAGAAACTGATAAAACCAGTACGGATTGAAGAGTATACCTAGAAGACCCATTGAGGCTGGAGTTTTTGGATTTTGTGAACCCTTCTGATCGGTAGTGGTTTCCTCGCCCGCTATCGCCGGATCCTTGTCGGTGTTCTTCAGTCCGTCGCCGTTCTCCGTCCTACACTTCCACCAAAAAATATCTACACTTACTGCTGTTATTTTTATCTACACTTAATATACCTCATTTCTACACCACAAATATGCATAAACATTTTGATGGTTTACACCGACACAACTGTTGGTGCGTTAACAAAAATTTACGCGGACACAAAGTGTTGGTGCGTTAACAAAAATTAGTTTTACACCAACACAAAATGTTGGTGCAAACCTGCAGGGTACAAATTGGGATACAAAAACATGGGATACAAATAGCTTAATCCATATATTCTTGATCATGAAATTTTGGATCGAGATTGTTTAGTATCGATTTTCGTACAACTTGAAATAAATATAGAATCTAACTTTTAAAATGTCACAAAATTATTTATTTTTGAAAAGTCAAATGTACATTTGAAAAAAGAAACAAAAATGTTACTTAAAAAAATAAAGTGAATGGATGATAATAAAATGATATTTCAAATGCATTAATATTTCTAAATTCATATATAAAAAAGTGAAACTCAAATAAAATTAAAATCTACACATATTTAATGAACAAAATATAAAAAGATAATTATATATGTTTTTAATATATTTGTGTGTGTGTGTGTGTGTGTGTGTGTGTGTGTGTGTGTGTATATATATATATATATATGTTCAATTTGAGATTTTCGGGTATGAGAATTTGCCTATTATTGTTCCAAAATACCAAACTTTATGTTCGATATCAGTTCGATACTTTCTCACCATAATCTAAGCATTGTTGTTAAAACAGAGTAATAATTTTTATTTTCTTTTTAATTTCTATTTATTTCAAATTGATTCTCGTATAGAAAATAAAATTATTGGTTTAGTATTTTTATGGCATGAAAATTTTGATTTTTTATAAATAAATTACAATCATTTAATCATACACTTTTAATCATTATTAATTTCTATATTAAAAGTATTTTAAAAAAGAGCAAATTCTCTATATTATTTGAGAACGACAAGGTGGGCTCTAGGTAGAGCAAGGGATGGGTACACAGCTCTCGGAAGCCAGAGCCCAACCTACGTTACATATCTTCATATAAGGCCATGTCATTGTAAGTTTGAGCCCATTTAATTTTTCATTGTACATGTCATTATTAGTTTGAGCCCATTTAATTTTTCATTTGTTGTTAGGTCAGTTAGTTCATTTATCCTAACTCCCACAAAGTACTTGGTCGATTATGAATTTGTATTTTTGTTCGAATCATTTTTTTGGTTAAGTATTTACTATCCTCCTATTTACAATAGCAGCAGGAAAAAAGTCCAGCTCAAATCCTAAAGTAACCGCAGACACACGATCTTCCCACAAAATCACTCACGATCTCTAGACAGCACCAATTCCATCTATTTCCATCTCTAAATTCAGCAGTTACCCACGCCTCTCCAATCAACCAACCGTTTCCATCTTCCATATTCTCTCTCCAATTACAACTCCTGCCTGCTATCTCACTCAAGAGACGCCTAGGACATCGAAGCACCAGTGACAAGGGATTGTTACTTTAGGGATCAGATTTTGCTCATTGTTGAATTGGATCGAACCTATAGAGAATGGACAATTATTGAAGGCTTCTTCAGAAGAGACCGAATCTATTCCCTTCTCAAGTTTAATTGGAGGCGAGATCTTGGAGAATCACAGGGCAGTCACCGGCTTAGGGTTTCAAACCTTATGCTCTACCGAGGACATAGATGGAGATCTTGATGAACCCGGAGATGACAGGGAATCAGTATGCAGACAACAACTCTGGTGGTTGGATAGGTTTGATTTTGGCAACAGCACTGGTCTGAGAACAAAGGACTTGGGTATTACAGAGTACTTTTTTTATATTTATTTCACTTTACTCTATTAGCCATATGATTTCAGATTTTTGGTGTTTTTCTTTTACAATTCCAACCTCTGCTTGATTCTTTCAAAAAATATCTACAAATATCAATGCCTTAGGCCCCGTTCTGTTCAACTTATTTTTTCTTATTTTTTCTTATTCTTATTAAAATCAGATCAGATCAGACCAGATCAGATCAGATCGAATCAGATCAGATCAGATCAGATCGAATCAGATCAGATCAGATCAGATCCTATCAGATCAGATCAGATCCAATCAGATCAGATCAGATCAGATCAGGACTTATTAAAATAAGATCTCATCAAGAATTATTATTATTATTATTATTATTATTATTATCATTATTATTATTATTATCATCATCATCATCGTCATCATCATCATCATCATCATTATTATTACATTGTCAATCTAATTCTACTTTTAAAATATATTTTTATTACTACTTGTAATTTGAGTTTCTAAACTTTTGATCTTTTATAAGGATGAGATATTTTAATAAAAATACTATCTCTTCTATATATTGATTATCAAAATTTAATTATTTTTTAATGTATATCTAAATTAAATATTTATTCTAATGTATAATTCTAATTTTACAAAAAAATCATAAAATAAAAATATTATTACATTATAATATGAATGATTATTCTAATATATGAATTGACTATTTTTATTTTATTAAAAAATAATCATTAAATAAAAAAATTTAATTATATTATAATATGAATTGTCATTACAATTTTCAAACGTTATTATAAAGTCAAATTAAATTATTGATTTAAAATTTTAAATTAAATCATAATTAATCCAGATCAGATCCAATCAGATCAGATCAGATCAGATCCAATCAGATCAGATCAGATCTAATCAGATCAGATCAGATTCAATCAGATCAGATCAGATCCAATCAGATCAGATCAGATCAGATCAGATCGAATCAGATCAGATCAGATCAGATCAGATCAGACCAGATCAGATCAGAACTTATTAGAATCAGATCAGATCAGAAAAAATAAGTTGAACGGAACGGAGCCTTAGTCATCATAGATTATTCCAAATTGCTGCCCGTGATGGATGGATTGCATTGAGAGAGAAGACTAGAGAACGAACTATCCAATATCAATGTGATTATTCAAAATAAAACATGTTCAAAAAATCATGACTAGTGAGTATATAATCTTCTATTCGTTGTTAATATCCACTTTTTTTACCTTACTTTTTTTCATTCTAAAGTCTGCTCTATTATATTTGTTTATGGTTTGCTCATATAAGTTGCGAACAAATTAAAAAGCTTATATGAATAAAAAAAAGTTATAATTACAACATTAAAGAATAGGTTTTTATACATAAGTAGTTTGAGTCTTGCTTTGAATATTATTTTTTGGTTTGCTCAAATTATAGATATGAACTGAAAATGTCGTTAGAAGTACGAGATGAAAGAATAGGGGGTTTTTCTTTGGAAAAGCTAAAAACTTATTCATATATAGTGAAAGAAATTGATATAAGTGAGTGGCTTTTAGGTGCTCTTAATCACAATAAGTCATAGAAGACTAAAAAATGTGTTTATGATTTAGCTTCAATATCATGCCTTCAAAGGCAGGAAGCTTAATAAAAGATCTTTTCTTTCTTTTTTCCTAACTTAGCAATGGTTTTTTTGTTTCCCTGTAATCCTATTCTTCCACCATCTAACACTTTTTAAGGTACCAACATCATTAATCTATTGGCACCACCACTTTCACTTATCCACCCATTTTTAAATATCATAAGAAATATTGCTACAATGAATCATCTAATGCCTTATTATCACTATATACTAATTAGTTTGCCTCCAGTCTAGATAATGTCGTCATCTTTTAAAGGTCCAATTTTAGTTTAAGCACAAGGCCTTCATAATCATTGGACCGGCCCTCAGGCCATCACTTCATCATAGATCGCCTGGCAAACTTCATTGTAGTTGTATTTTTCACTTTGTTGTTTAAAATGATTTCTTTGACTTCATATGAGTATTTACTTTTCTAATTGAAAAAAGAAAATCTTGGTGAAGACTGAAGATTTAGTATCCATTATTGACGCCTCTTTTGTTATTGATCTCAGGGCATCAATTAATACTCTAAAGCCAATGGTGCTAATCCACTCTGAACCAGCAAGTTGCCCATATTTATTACAGTAAGTATTAATCAAGTATCGGAATGCTAAGCCTAAGGTTTTAATCCACTAAACAGTACTCCATCTGTCCTAATTCTTTCTTCCCAGTTTGACTTTTCCTCATTTTTAATATTTTTGCTTTGACTTCAAATTTTACCCTCCTTAAAAAAGATTTTTTGAAATTTTTTTTGCAATCATTCAAAATATAGAGTTAGAAGATAATTGGTGTAAATACATGAGGGTATTAATGTCATTTGTCATCTTTTTTTCTTCTAATGGGAAGGTAGTTTTAGAACGGAGAAAAAGGGAAAGTGGGACTAACGTTTTAGGACAGAATGAGTATATTTTTATTGCGTTAGGCATTGATCGGGCTATTGTTTTGGAACATGGAGAGCCAGGGGGCTGTGATTATATTTTGCACAGGCAAAGACGATGGCTTGCATAGTCGAAGACTACGGCTGACCGATCTAAGCCAGCAACACCACCCGTAACCTAGATGGCTCTGTTCTCAGGTAGCTATGTATATATATTTGATGTTTTACAGAGTAAGTTGAGTATAACCTTTAACTTAAAGCATTTAAATAACTGTTCTATGCTTTGAAATTAACCATACAGGTACCGATTGCAAGTACAGGTTGTAGATGAAACAAGCAACCTCACTTTGACCTTATGGGATAAGCATTGTATACCTCTTTTTGGAAAGCATGCAAGAGAATACTTACATGACAGTATAGGGCCTTATGCTAACATGTATCCACAGAAGGTTTAAGTTTTATGTACACATTAATACTGTTAATATGCTGATGATTAAATAACTCTTTTCAGGGTGATGACACAGAAATTCCAAAAGAGTTTAACTCCATCATGTATAAGCCACTTTTAGTTGAACTCGAAGTTAAAAGAACAGGTTCCAGTTTTAATGAAAAACACTATTTAGTGAATCAGATTATCAAAGACAAAGAAGTCTTGGACCGTTTCCAAATTGATAGCTCTACCACACAGGTATGACTGCTTTTACAATTAATTTATACAAAACATGTACTAATTTCTGTTATTTAAAATTTAGGGATCTGTTACAAGTAAACCACTCAAATCCATCACTGAACCTATTGACTTGGTGGGATCAGAAACTTTTCCTTATGATGCTAATGTTAATAACCAAGGCAGTATGGCAAGCACAAGTACTCCTGACACTATTATGAAGAGAGACCTCAACATGGAATTTGAAGACCAAGCAGCTCAGTTGAAAAAGAAACCCAAAGTGAGTGTGAAGATTGAGAAAGATTGAATAGATTAAAACATCCTCACCACTGTATAATATGATTTTGTTTCTGTTTAAAAAAAAGACACTTCTGTTTGAGAAGTTTGCTTTAGTTTCTAATGCTCAGTATGCAATATGAGCTTTTTTTTATCAGAAAGTACATGTTTTCAGCTTTCTAAAAACAACATCATGCTCTGTATATGCAGCCCATTGTATACTTTTTAATATAGATAATAATGCGTACAATGTTGCCATCTAAACTTTTGATGTTGGATTAATAAATCTTTGTTCCTTACCAAATTCCCTATGCCCACCTCAGAAAAAAAAAGATTTCTAAATGATAACATATTTCATGTCCTTAAACCAAGATATTCAAATAAAACATGTAATACCATGAAAAATACATGAAACAAAAGACTCATTTTTTTATCCATCCCAAGTTGCACATTGTGTTCTAAATATTCTCTCAGGAAATTCAGTCTTGATGATAATACTTTTCACTGCATTGTGCGCTAAATTTAAGTCATAATCATTTCGTTGGACCTATGCCAAAATCTGCAAAATTGATAGAGATATGTACAAACTATGCAAGTCTTCATTAAAGGAGCTATTTTGTTTGCAAATGGTACATTGATGCTGGACTTTTGATTTGTGAGTTCTCTTTTTGAGTTAAGTATCTTCACCGCGATAATTTCCATCATCTCGGATGGAGCCAAAATTTTGTTGAAACACGGGCTTGTCAAGTTTTCGTACTAAAGCCGTGTTCGTTTTTGTAACAGGTTTTGATAATGCCAAACCGCCGTGATCAAGTCAAAACAATGAATATACAAGGCGAAGAATGGAAAAGTTGAAGAAGAGCTAAAAGAAGACCAAGAACGAAGACATTAGACTTAGTGTTGTTGAGTCGGTCTTTATTGTGATCAAGGCCGACCCAATCTTTACACCGTGGCTCTTTAGGCTAAAATCTCTCATTGCATNCTTGTTCTTGAGTGTCTTAGTGTTGTATACACGTTAAGGGAAGCTTGTTTCCCTTGGTTGTACGAAGGAAAGGTATTTTCCTTCGGGTTGAAGTCTTGGAGTGCGGTATCTCCGAGCAAGGTTGTTGAGGCTCGTGGGACTCGAGTTCTCAGGTTGTAACGGTTTGTTAAGCACCCGTAAGCTTAACGGAAGTAGTGTAGCTCGAGAGAGTCTCTCGGGAGACTGGATTAGCCACACGTTGTGGTGAACCAGTATAAAACTTGGTGTGCTCCCTTTACGCTTTCTACGCTCTTTACTTTTCACGTTCTTAATTTTTTATTCCTGCGATTTCTACGATCAAACGCTATTCACCCCCCCTCTAGCGTTGGTCACTTATTCTAACAAATTTCAGCATTTTTGGCTTTGGGATGTGATGGAATAAATCAAAATGGATCTCTAAACTGTCTGTGCTTCTTTAATTAATGAAGTAGCAGTTAGTTAAGCAATGCAACTTTCAATGTTGAGCCGGGGGTCTCTTTGGAAACAGCCTCTCTACTTTCGAGTAGGGGCAAGGTCTGCGTACACACACCCTCCCCAGACCCTACTTTTGTGGGATTTAACTGGGTTGTTGTTGTTGTTGTATCTTCACCGCGATCATAAAACAATAGCGATATGATTTTTCTTCACCATGATATTTTTAAGGTTTTTCAGATTATCGTTTTGTTGTTTGGTTATGATAATTGAGTTATTTTGAAGGTTTGCTCTTAAACATCAAATCATCTTCACATTGATTTGAGAGGAATGTTTTAGACTAGGTAAATCTTCCTCACTTACAAGAGATATTTTTTGCAGGTTTGATTGGAGAAATCAATAAAAAGTTCCATTTGAACTACAATTGTGATCTTCAGTTGCTTCTTTGTTTAGATTTCCAACAATTTCATACAAGTACTATGATTGTTTCCTGCTGAAGAGTCTTTCATGGTAGAAGAACTCATATAGAGTTTGAGCATAGTGGCAATCCTAGCAAAATCTTAGAACAAGTGATCGCTGAACGACAGATTATATGCATTTATTTAAGGATATTGTCAACGATACTTTTGAGTTTAAATTGGATGTAAAAGATGCTTTACTTTGCCTAAATCTCTCATGATGCTCTTGACCTTTCCTAGATTTATATTAGGTTTATTTTTTGTGAAACAATACAATGCAATATTGTCCCTTTAATTTTTGTATCAAGTTTTGAAGATGATTTTTGCTATATTGGAAGTAATATACATTTTTTCTTGGTTTAGATTATATACGAGTAAATTCATATATTTGGTAGGTTTATAAATTGAACCAGATTCCTACCATAATTTTTGAAGATTATATATTTAAATATGCAACACTTTCAATCAATTACAAAAAAGTGGTAGGCGAACATCAAGGTATAGATAGTATTGACGTTTGAGTTACTGAAAAATACATTTATTATCTTCTATGTTACAAATAATCATTATTAATATAGTATTAATACCTTCTTATTTTTAAGGGAACAATTTCTTACCGTGCATCGCACGGGTAAAAATCTAGTTTATTCAGTAGTTTCTTTTACATATTTGACGTTGTTCAGTATTGTGAATTTCAAAATTCACTTTCTCACTCCCAATGACCTATAACTAGGTATAAATCATATTTATGTTTATATAAAAATTATCAAGTTTTTTAAAGTTCTTTAGAAGATAATAAAATATTATCACATAGAATAGGTATACCTATAATTAAAAATAATAAGAGGTTTATTTAAAAAAAATACAAAGCATTATAGTTAGATGTAAATTATTTTTAAAAAAATATTAGAACACAACATGTATTAAGAAATAAATAAATATATATATTAAATACTACTTACAAATACCAAACATTTGATTTATCCTAGATGGTTATAACTTTGAATTTGAAGGTCAGAGGTCTTGGGCTCGGATACCTTTGCCCCAATCTTACATTTTTATTTTCAGGTTAGAACACATTCATATCCGGCCGGATTCGGGTACTTGACCAGTTTTGGATATTTAATTAGATTCGGATATATTCGAAATCGAAAATTATCGGTCGGGTACTATACGTATATTACCACATGTATATGCGTGTGCACATTACAACCACATTACTACAGTGTGAAGTCTTTTTTCAAGAAAAAAATGAAAGTTCTATTTTGATACTTTTTTCTATGTTTTAGTCTTATTTAGGGTGATGTCTATAAAAATTTGAGGAAACAAAATGATATGAATAAACTATTGAGTAAATTACATAAATGGTCTCTACTAATACGTGGTTTCCATATATTTAGTTCTACTTATAAAATATTACAAGCGTAGTCCCCTTTTCTTTGGTTCCTTTTCACGGTCAATCTTTCGTCACTCATGTTATTATCTAACTGTTAAATACAACATTAAAAAAGTAATTTTTCACCTCCACATCTCAATTAAACATCTCACCAGTCCCCCTCATACGTGCCTTTGTTTGCATGGTTAGGGTGCATCATTCAGAATTTCAGATTGTCATGTGCGGCAAAGATAGTAACTAACTTTCAGGCTCTGCGATTTTGTGATGAAGACAAAGGCTGGGATTCTGGTTTTGAGGGATAGCTGAGGACGAGGAGGGATAATTTAATTGAGAGATGGGTGTGAAAAATTATCGTTTCAATTCTACATTGAACAAGTAAATGGCAGTAGGAGTGACAGAGGACTGAACATGTAAAAGAATTAAAGTAGGGACTACGATTGTAATATTTGTTAAATAGAGACTAAATATCAAAAATTGCTTATAACTACGGACCATTTATGAAATTTACTAGTTGTACTTGTTGAAACAAAAGATATAAAGTAAATTTCTACTCATTTCGCTAGGTTGGAAACTTTTTACATCCAAAATTCAAAGGAGTGCAAATTTATACATACATATTTATACGGAGTATTTGTATTCAATTTACTTGTCAATGTATTAAATCAGTTTCTTGTCACATTTATATTGCTTATAACTATGGACCATTTATATTTGTTTCTTGTCATTATATTAAATCAGTTATATACATACATATTTATATTTGTATAATTGTATTCAATTTACTTTCAAATACTTGCTGGTAAATATTTGTATTCTTGCACTCTTATTTGTTTTTACGAAAATGAGTCATTGTTTAGGGAGTAAAATAATTGAAACAAAAGTCACTTTCACATCTCGATCTACTCCAGACCCGCAAAGTTTCCAAGCATTTATTATTGACATTTTTGGAGTTTCAAAAAAAGAAAAAAAAATTTGCAAATATGTAAGCTCCAAGCGTCATATATGCCATGCATTCTATCTAGTAGTACCATAAGCTCTTAATTAAGTTCTATTTTTGCGCAGCATTTTTGAGATATAGTACCAAAAGATTCCATTGTTTTTTATAGCATGTTGCTTGCTTGTCCAACTTATATTAATTAATATCATTAATTATCATTTTATATAAATATGCAAAAAAAAACACTCTTTTTCAATGCAGTTTGGGGATGGAGTAACAAATAAAATAATTTGCATATATGCATCATATCCCACCCCCCAATGACATTAGCATATAGTCAAATTTTTAGGCATTATATGGGTGGAATTGTTCTTAATCATATCAATGGAAGTTAAAAAAAAAGAAGTCCTAATATTTAAAGGCATTGCATCATCATCATCCACTCATATACAGATACATTCATACCATTTTTTTACTAGCAGAACTATAGGTATTCCTAAGTAAGGGCGTGTTTGGCTTGACAGGCTATGAGAGGTGAGGACTGTTGTAACTTTAGGACGAAATTAGACGAAGCTAAATACGGAGTATGTACTATGTAGAATCGTTAGAAAGAATGATATACAAACATGAAAAAACCCGCTACACTTGACAAATTCCATACATGTTTTAGATTAAATTATACTCCGTAGTTATTTGTGAATATGTCAAAATATTTCAATCAGGTAATTAAGAAATAAGTACTTAGAACAAGTATGAGAGTTCTATCTCAAATAAGATCAGTTTCACACCCTTTTTATTTATTCCTAATTAAATACAATTCCACTAGCTGTTAATTTAAAAGTAATTAGAGAACATAGAATGCGGCCAAAGGACATTATTTAATGTCAATATATATACACAATGTCGCATTATAATTGTGTAATATTTTAATTTTGGGATAAAATTAAAATATGTCAATACAATTTTGAGAATAAGAGCTATGATTAGCTCCTGTTTCGTTGATTTCTTTTAATTTATTATTCTTCCATCCCCCAAAAGAATGCCACATAACATAAAACGAAATAAAATTTTAAATTT